CGATGCCTTGGTCGAATTGTTAAATGAAAGAGAGTTCTCGGAGTCGCTCGATATCCGGTTGTTTAACCGAAGAGCCGTCCATTGTAGAAAATTGTTTATTGGCCATGCCGAAGTTTATGGAGAATGTTACTTTTGGGCTCGAGGCCCGATTTTTGAACTTTCAAGTTTATTTACGTCTTCGTCGAGTATTCATGGATTCACGTCTCTCATTCCTCCGGGACGTAAACAAATGAGGCCTCTATTATGCTTTCAATGTTCAAACACCCGGGAAGCTCATAGAATTTTGCGAGCTCAATTTGTACACGTTCGGATGACCTCGGTTGGAGCTCGAAGGACATTATCGTTTTTATTCTCTCTTCCAACCGGACGAACACCTCGACACACGGTGGGACCCCACCGTGTTGAGTACACGCTTTCTTTTCCCTTCTTTATTTTCTTTTTCTTTTCTTTTTTTTTTCTATATGTTATGTGTTTCTTTTTTGTTTTCGTTTGTATAGTTCATTTATCTTGTCGAGCGCATGAGCTTATGTGATTACGTGCTCTTTCCTATGCTTTTTGGGTCAAGCAATGAGGACATTGCTTTGTTTTAAGTGTGGGGGATGGGTTTACGTGATTATGCATGCTTAGGTGTCGTTTTTCTTATTTTAGGTCTTTATTTTTCATTTTGTGGACCGGTTTTATTTGAGTTTTTGTGTGTTTGTGTCATCTCTCTCGCATGAAACTTGATGTTTGTTCGAGAGTCGAGATAGCTAAGTGGTGAGTCGAGATTATTGATTGGTTTCACTATTAGCATTCATGCTTGATGTACTTGATGAATTTGACGGTTTCTTTAAATTGATTGATGATTCATTGACATTGGAACTCGCATGTGGATTAACGGAATTATTTCGTCTTTCGTTCGTTTTTGATTGGTTGCCTTGAGGCATGCTTTCCTTATGTTCGATTATCGTTGTAACGTGTTCTCTATACACTTGTGGTACGTTTCGATTGATTTGTGATGATCATGTATTGGAATTGTGATGTATCC